TGTCACTCTTTTTATACATGCATTTAAATCTAAATTTCTTTCAATTTTACTTGAAATTTGGCACGTAAATGCAATGGAACACAAATATTACTCTAAGTATTACCAGATTCTGCATTATATGTTAAAGGTACCTCCAAATCTAACCTTTCATCATGCAGTGTGTACAGTATACAGAATTTAAAAGGTAACACATCATGGTAATGCTCAAAATACTCTAGTGCAGATGGGGGAAAAAAATGTCTAATCCCACAACTGGGCCAATGTGAAAAATGATACTTTCAAATTTAAGGAAAAGTTTCATCCTCTATAAGGTTTTCCAGCTCCCCCTCTCTGCTTCCGTTACTGTTACTCCCTCTGCTGTTGGAGACACAGACCATCAAAATATGAATATGTATTAAACACACACACGTACACTGAAACATGAGCACTGAGTTGAAATACTAAATTTAGCTGATTATCATGGCAGTGAGGTCTACTGTGAGATACCTTAGAGGGCGAAACAGCGACATATCCCTGCAGAAATTATTGAGAGAAAGAAGAACAAAATATCAGTGTCAGTGAAATCGCAGGTATTATGAGAATCAGTATTGAGTAGGATGCAGTGATGTGCATTCTGGACTTACACAGTCAGACCTCCAGGGGCAGACATGGACCTGCCCTGCCTGCGGCTGTGACACTCGAACGGGTTACTGAAGGAGCGCTTCCGCAGCATGGACTTCACCAGGATCTTAAAATACAGGGCAAAACACAAATTCACTTTATTTTACTTCTAGATCCACAACATTGGACTTTTTTGTGCCACAGATATTAAACAATTGACGGTAGCCATTGACATCAATTGAAATTTTTTTTAATACAATGGAAGTTAATGGCTACCATCAACTCTTTGGTTACCGATATTCTTCAGAGTTTCTTATTTTGTGTTCAGGAGAAGAAAGAAATGCATACAGGTTTGGAACAAATTGGGAGTGATCAAATGATGGCAGAATGTTCATTTTTGGGTGAAAATCCATTAAAATAAAATTTAAAAATGTAAATTAAAGGGTTAGTTCACCCAAAAATAAAAATTAAACCATAAATTACTCACCCTCAAGGCATCCTAGGTGTATATGACTTT